TTTTTTTTTTTTTTTTTTTTTTTTTTTTTTTTAGCTAATGGCTTCTGATTAATCCAAACTGGGGGATTTTAAGACTAGAAATCCATAGAGAGATAATATTTTATTTATTAGCTCTTGCAAATTTCAAGTACTAATGAAGACAATTTATATCAAAACACTTCTCTACAGGTTACTGAGTGTCAAGCACCACTCTCAGAGCTCAACCAATATTAACCACTTTGAACATGACAGCAAGCCCCAGACTGGCCACGCCGTTTGCCAGGGCCCTGCCTCTGAGCTGGTATTCTCTACACCGTGGGGTCTCTCCGGCAGGGCACGGCCTGTGCCCTGGATTAAAGTTCCACATATGGTTACCAAAAAGTCAGGAATCTGCACAGAAGAAAATAAATAAACCCAGTAAGATGTCAGGTCCCCAGCTACTTTATTCCGACAAACACCTTGACCTTTGGAGATACCATATTTGCCAGTAACTCCCTGGATAGGCTGCTTAACTGTAAGAGAGGGTCAGGTGTGGAGGGAGTGTCTCCGGCAGGAGGCAGGAAGTCAGTCTACCAATGGTAGTGGACCAGTAAGCCCTGGGAAGAAGGCGGAGGCTTCAGCAATTGTAACAGTGGACAAGTATAAAGTAAGACAAGTCCATTGGTGGAGTTTGAAAACGTCACAAAGGAAAGAAGATTGACGCTCATCTTTTGGGAGCTCTGTTAGCATGCCTAGTCAATGATTTTCATATTTTTAGGTAAACTGAGGATTACATGTAATGGTAACTAAATACTCAAGGAATCAGGTTGCCACTGTATGTTTGAAAGGAGATCTACCCAATATCCAGGCCCCCTTGTCTCTGTCTTCACAACCCTGATCGTTGGCCCATGATAAACAAAGTTTGTTTGGTAAACTGTTGATGATGACTATTGATGATGACGTCCACCATCCAAGTGCTGGGTCAGCTATTCATGTGAGACTATCCCAGTCCTCAATCGAAGACATACATGGAGGGGCGCCTGGGTGCCTCAGTCAGGTCAGGATCTCTCGGTCCATGAGCTCGAGCCCCGCCTCGGGCTCTGTGCTGACAGCTCAGAGCCTGCTACGGATTCTCTCTCTCCCTCTCTTCCTGCCCCTCTCCCACTCACAGTCTGTCTCTCTCTCTCTCTCTCTCAAAATAAATAAATAAACAAACAAATAAATAAATAAATATTAAAGAATTTTTTAAAAAGACATACATAGATATTTATATTTTCTAATTCCCAATCTTCTTTTCGTAAAAACTGTGTTCAAAATCAAAAGGGTCTATTTAAAAATGTCACCTTTACTTCACATTTGTCTCAGTGTTGCTGTCATGGATACAGCATTTCCATGTCTGTTTTCCCTGTGGTTGGACATACATACTTACTCTCATTGCAAGATGAGAGCCCCAGGGAAGGGAGATCACTGCTCAGCATATTTAGGGATGCCATTCAGATCCACCAACATGCCTTCCCCAGAACTGATAGACTCATGGGTCAGATGCATCCCAGCAGCTAGATTTTCACATACTTGGTTCTCCCACAAAGAGGTCACCTTGACAGGTTCTGCTCTAAACAACAAAGTTCACATTCAGGGTTTTGCTGGAATTATTCATTCGTCCCACAAAACTGCATTACTTAATTTTTTTTAAAACCTGTTTCATTAATAACTTATACAATGTTGAAATCCAGATCACGATTCCCTAGCTTGGGCGATCACCATACTTACTGGACTGGATTTTTTAAGACTTTAGATTTTTCCTCCTATCAACTGTATCCTTGACACATAAAATTTTTCTATATTGGTGATTAAAAAAGCAAAAAAACGTATTCCGCACAGGTCCTGAGAGCTCTCTGAAAGAAGGCCTTCCACAAACTATTTTGCCTAATAAGAACACTGTTAGAATAGCAATAAAGCTTTTTAATGTGACTTCCTGGAAGAAGTGACAGCGTTTGCATTATGACTTCCAGATATAAGAAGTTGCCATTTTAATAGGTCACAAACGGTCAGGGATTCGAATTTCATCTGCTTACACGCATATTATTTGACAAGTGTGTTATAAAATCAGTTGTTTCTTTATAGCCAAGCCTCAGCTACAGTAGCATAAAATGTGAGTGACAGAAGTCCGGCCAGATGTGGGAGCTTACGTTAACACCCCGTCATGACGATGGATGTAAGGTTTCCTGGGGAGAAAGTGGGTTTAGTGAGCTGCACCCCAAAACAGAAAAAAATCCCAAAGGAAATGTATGCTGGTTAAAACATCGGTCCTAGAACCAGACAAAGCTGGCATAGTATTCTGGTCACGTCGCTTAGGCAAACTTTTCATCTCTTCAGGCTTGGTTTCCTTATCTGTAAAATGGGTAATAACATGAACTTTTTAGGGTTGTATGAGAATTAAGTTCTGCAGTGTATTTACTCAGCCTGTTGGGTAGCACATAGGTATCAATGAATAGAGAGTAACTAATGCTACCACTCAATGAATAGGGACCTGTAACCTGGAAGCCATCGGGACTAACATGCATGAAATTGCACGGCACTTGACATTTAGTCGCCTTTCCTGAGTCTCCACGTACCAGAAGCAGATCCATTTGGAAAAACCGTCTCTGTTCTTAAATAGTTGACGCCCGAGAGGAAGGACCAGACCCGAGGGTAACTGAAGTGCATCGCACTGTGTGTGTACTGTGATTGAGGGCGAATCCACTTCTGCAGACTTGCTCTTACCTAGCACGATGCCATAGAGCAGCTGGAATTAAATCCCCTTGCTAGAAAGCCACGACCCCCAGCACTAAGTACCCTTGTCCACTTTGCAGCAACCTGCGGAGGGACACTGAGCAGCATGGGGGGAGTGATCTTGAGCCCAGGGTTTCCAGGCACGTACCCCAACAACCTGGATTGCACCTGGAAAATCCAGCTACCTGTTGGCTATGGTAAGTGAAAGTTTTTTTTTTTGTTTTTTTTTTTTTGTTTTTTTTTAATTCCTGTAATTTCAACTTTGCCATTTCTATCTTGGAAAGAATTCAGCTGAAGGAAAAAAAATGTGCCTTATTCTGTTGACATAACTGTCTTTAATTGAAAGTGGCTTACAGATTTAAATAAAGCTTTGGCAGAATAACTTCAAGAACAGAAAGTTATTAAAAAATCAACTCAGCCATGCAGCTCTTTTCAAGGCAAATTAAATTAGATGGATGATGATATAGTAGGCACACGAGGTATATGTAGCATCCCTAATTCAATTATCCCTCTCTTTATTCATAATACCACCTTTTAGAATCTATTTCTGGAATTTAATAATGGTGGTTGTTTCTTTGGAACAATTTGTAAGGCTTTTTCAGGTTGCGGCACATTTTATTACTGTTCCGTAAGTTTTTGTAATTATGTATTGCATTGATTTCGGTTTATGAAAATGGCTTTTTATAAGATTTAGTTATGAACTTTCAGGATAGCCACCTTAAATAATTCATGACATTAATTGTTATGTACAGTAAAATCTCATTATGGCCTTTTCCAGAAACGCACGGTCTTTGTGAAATTTTGATTCCCCGCCATGCCTTTCCTTGTCTGCGCCATGATTTCCTTCATGGTTGAGTTCATTAATTTGGGTTTTCCCCACCTGTGATTTTTCTCCAGAGCACACACTGATAGGTGTACCAGGTCAGGTCCTTACTGAATGTCCTCGTGCATAGCGATTGAGGACATCTACGTGAAATGTTAGTTGGATGATGAATGAACTTAAGCCCAAGTGGAAGTCGCTGCCCTAGATCATGTTTTTTTATTAGGTTTTCAGAGCTTTGGCTGAAAAAGCTGTGTGCGGGACGGATGCAGCAGCAGTGATGTAGAACACGGAGCAAGGAAGGGTCCCCCTGCTCAGCAGAGAGGAGCAGGAGGAACCCCGGGCAGGAGGGCCCGGTGGGCATCGGTCGGGCATGCGAGCACAGTCACGCTGTGGACCGACCCCGAGTGTTCCACCAGGGAGGGAGGGGAGCGTGGAAAGGCGCTCCCCCTGGGGAGAACTCATGGGAGCTTCCCGTCCGCTGAGGTCCCTAAGGGGCCAGCAGAGGTCGAATGGGACAAGGAAGGGGAGAGACCACCAAAGGTTACAGAGGCTGTTTCTTCCAGGTTTTATTTTGGCTTTGTTTCTTAGACTATAAACTCTCTGAACATAGGGAAATACATCTGCCAGGTGCTTAACCAGCATTAGCTCAGTTACTCTCAAAAGGCCAGCCTGTTTTCCTAGCATAGGGGTCTGAAGACAGGGTTCGTACAATCTTTGAGTCAGGCAGTGGAGGTGGGATCAAACATACACGTGACCCAGGCCATTCCAGCAGGGTCCTCAGGCCCTTCAGGGTCACGGGCTCATCAGGCAAATGACCACACTGGTTAAACGCAGAGATTCAGAGAAACGCGGGCCCCCTCAGTCTGAGTCGGGTGTCGCACGGTCTACCAAGATGGGAGGTGTGCCTGTCTCATGGGAAAAACCTACAGAGCCGCAGAGGGTTCCGGTGAGGACTCGCTAAAACAACCCAGGAGGAGTTTAGCACCGGGCTTGGCGGGTCAGAAAAGGCAACAGCAGCCAACGAAGAAGTCGGCTGGTTTTTTTTTTTTTTTTTATTATTCCAAGTATTTCCCACTTTGCTTTCAAATCTCATTAGAAATATATTATTCCGGAAGGGGTATAAATATTGCATTAACTTATTTTCCCAATTTGACCATTCTGTGATTGAAAAGGTTATTGTTTGGCATTTTTCCTTATGTTGTTTGTGCATAAACCAGCATGAAAGATAATAATTCAGGGGGAAAAGTCAGTCAAGTTGTCTGACTTTGTGATCATGATCTATGAGCCCAAAGAAAATATTTATTTGAAGAAAGACCAAAATGGGAAAAAAGATTTATGAGATGTTATAATTAAAATAAATTAAGTTTTTAAGTATTTGGTACTGCATAATTTTGGGGTTTGAAAGTATCTTGAAGGAAAGGCGAAAAGAAACCTTGTGGCTTAAATCCTAAATACATACAAGATAATATCATTAGCCCTAGATTGTTAGAATGATGTAATTATGCCCCAGGATGCAGTTGACTCTTGAATAACCTGGAGGTCAGGGGCGCTGACCCTGCAGAGTTGCAAATCCACTATGACCTGAGTCCACAAAAGCTTAGTTAATAGTAACGTCACCATTGACCAGAAGCCTATCGATGACATGAGTACGTATGGTGTACGTTATATTTTGTAGTATATACTATATTCTTACCATAAGTTGAGCTAGAAAAAGGAAAATATCATTGAGAACATCTTAAGGAAGAGAGAACACACTTAGGGTCCCGTACTGTAAAAAAGCTGCACAGAAGTGGACCCACACAGTTCAAACCGTGTTGTTCAAGAATCAACTGTAAATTACAGATTAAATGTGATGTACCGGGTTTGCCGGAGATACATTTTAGAATCTATAAATATCCTTCTAAAAACGAAGTTACAAATTTAGAGGAAAGGCGTCTAAGTGGTGGTAGGTCCCCCGACAGGGGGCTAGAAATGCCTTCTGAGGCCTACGAAATGACCGCACTTTTTGCTGATGTTGAGAAAACTTTACAGCCTAGCTTTCAACTCCATGGGAGAGTTTTGAAACTCTTAAGCAAGTTAATTTTATCTCTTTCTGGTCTTTTATCTCTGCCGGTTCTCCCTTGTAATAACATGGCTCGAAACACCGCCTCTCCTGTGGTCAAAAGCACGCATTTGAGATCCGCGTTTTCGGCTGCGTGTGACATATTTTCATCTGGGGCATCTGAAGGTGTCACGGACTCCATTCAAATTCAAATTCATCACTTTCTTCTTTCCCTTTACTCGGTTTATTCCAGAGTGGATTCTTCTGTTTCATTCCCTGTCTGTATCTACAGCATGACCCTTCCCTGGAACTTTTCTTTCCCTCAGTCTTACCTTAGCAGTAATTCCTCCCAGGATCTCCCAAGTCATAGGCAAACATCAGATCACTAGCTTGGAAATTTTGAGATAGCAAGTTTGGGTCTGAAACTCAGGAAAGGGCAATTTTGTGTTAAACACTCTGGAAGTTTCTTATTTAAAAAAAAAACAGATAGGAACATAGCAAAGATGACTATCCTATCCCTTCATGATCATCTCTCCCTTTTTTAAAATGTTGATTTATCTATTTTAGAGAGAGAGAGAGTGCACTTGTGGAGGAGGGTCAGAGAGAGAGGGAGAGAGAGAATCCCAAGCAGCCTCCATACCGTCAGCAGAACCGGGGCTCAGTCCCACAAACCATGAGATCATGACCCAAGTCAAAGTCAAGAGTCGGATGCTTAACCGACTAAACCACGAGGCGCCCTTCATTTCTCCCCCTTAATCTCCCACATTGTGTCCTATCAACACCAAAATCTTAGGATCATTCTGGAACATCTCCTGTAATTACCACCCAGGACACAGCTACTATTTTCCCAGTGGGACAAGGAGGGAGATTGGGATGACATGTTTCTATGGATGACACAATAGATGTTTTACCTGGAAAACTTCTGCTTGTTAAGATGATCTTGGCAACCAAGTTGGAAGATCATAGTAAGAGATATTTCCTCCTTGGAAGGACAACGTGATGGGTAATTTACATCAAGTGCGGTAGACTTACCAGCTCTTCCAAGTGAACATGCACTGGGCGTGTTGCTGTCACTGCTCACGCCTGCTCCTGTCCCAGATCTCCTGCCTCAGGGACTGCCTCTGCGTGTGCATCGGGGGCGGGGGTGGTGGTCTACTCCTAGCCCTTTCTCAGTCTAAACAATAGAGGTTGTAGGGTCACTGGGAAGTTCATCAAGAAGAGGGCACCGTGGGAAACTTGCTTGCATAAGACCCAACGATACGGTCCGATTTATTGTGAATGTGTACTTAAACTTGGAACATTAAATGCCAAGGAGAATGATTGCTAAGCCCAGGGGTTCTGAAATTTTGCTCCGCGTGAGAATCCCGGGTGGGAGTCACGTTGTGACAGTGAACTTCCTGTGGCTTGCCCCTTGGTGCCCTGTCTCAGCTCCGCTGGCCACACCAGGAAGAGTACTCAGCAGGGTTTTTATCTAGCACTTCGGGTATTTCGGATGAGGGAGTCACAGGTTTTGGGAAGCATTTCTTCAATTTAGGGAAGACCACTTGTAACTGAAATAAGGTGAGAAATGCACAAATGTTTTTTTTCATAAGATTCTTATACATTTTATTTTCAGTATAAATTGCTTTACCCAAAAGTGTAGAAATCCAGAGGTTTTGACACCGTGGAGTAGAGATAGAATATTATTTCTTATGAAACCGTATGATAAACCAAAACTTTAACATGAATTACAAAAAAAAAAAAAAAAAAAGGGAATTGCTACGGTTATTACAGAGTTTTCTTTAAAATAAGTTCTATTTCCATACTTTTAAAGTTAGTTCTCTCATTTCTTTAAACGCGATCTCAAATATCTGCGTGTACATTCCTGTGGTCTCGATTTTCAGTTCTGGTGGTGGGTTGCTTGGGGCATTCGTGGCTGTGCTGCCGGTAAACACAGATGAACCCAGTTCCTGCAGCCACAGGGATAGTCCACGGAGGCAACACGTGGTATTGTTGCCTTTCTTGATGAATTTCGTTCAGGGAGGATTTTACTGGGGTGCTTTGAATCATTCCCTACCACTGGATTGCCCAGGACCAGCTGAGAGGGATTATCCGATCCATTAGTTAAGCAGCTGCCAGCTTAGTCAAATAATTCTTTTGATTCTGTCATTTCTTTCCAATGCCTGTGGATCAATCGATAGTTTAATTAAACAGGCAAAATGATTAGTTGCTTCGGCAACATGTGAAAACCACCTTTGTCTCACGTTGCTGTTATTTGTCCCGGTGACAACAGTCTCCTGCATCCAGTCTCAGGGAGAGAACACAGCTCTTCTCTCCAAGTGCTGGAGGGACTTTGCGCGGAGGGGTGGGTGGGCAGGAAGTATGGCGAGTGCTCACATCTGGGGGCTCCGAGTTGGGTTGACTAGAAAGCTTAGTTCCATCAGTCACTGGGGTTGTGAATGTGCCCAAGTTACCAACAGTGTTCTTGAACCTCATTTCCTTATCTTTAAAATAAACATAATAAAACATCATCTCATGGGGCTGCTCTGATTAATGCAGATGCCCGATATGGAGCAGGGCATTATTTGGCCGTTAGCCGCTCTTAGTTACAAAACCAAATGCCCTAATGATTTTTACCCTGTTTTCTTTCCTTGTCACGGATTTCGGTTGATATTTTGGGTTGCTTTGGCACAAGCCCCATCGACACAGAATTTCTGTCTCTACTTTCTTGAAATTTTCTAAAGGCACAGTCAACAAAAATACAACCGTGATTTTTTTTTTTCCTTTGTCTCTGCCTTTTCTGTTTAAAAACCACTGCACCAACTTTGCAGGCCACGCTGTCCAAATTGACCATGTCTTTGACCATCTAGAGGCGTATGTAGGCAGGCTATAAAGGATACTTCAGAAGAGTCACTCTTGCCTTGCATTTATTATGCACAGGAGATAGTAAATAGAGCACTTAATATTCACAAGGTCTATCATCCAAAAAAAAAAAAAAAATGGAGGTTTCACTCAGGAGTCAGGGTCACATTACTTTTTAAAGTTTAGTCAAATCCAAAGTCAAACGTTCTTTGTGCAGGTGACTTTTCCTGACACTTAATTTTCAGTGTGAACGATACTCAGAGCACAACAATAAGGTTCTCTGTTAATTCCACCAAATGGACATTCAGATTGATTTTTCTTGTTGTAATAACACATTTTTGTCAGCATTTCATGAGATAATGAAAGGATAGCTGGGCTATGCTTATTCCAATCCCTTCATTTTGGCTTTATGATGTCAAACTGGACACAAGTCACTGAAAATTAGATAGCTAAGTAATTCCATTTTAAACCAGATTAGAACTGGGCTCTGTTCTGTTCCATCTCCTGATGTGCGTTAAGAGGTTTGATATGTGGCTGGATACTTTATCCTGATTAAAATGCTAATTTTTTCATAAGACCATAACTGCCATAATTCTGTTCCATTTCAAGTTTAATTCCAAGTCCGTAAAAGGCCACCTCTACTGTTGCCTTCACTTGGAGATATTGGCCATCTTTAACTTTTGATCCCCCTTGATCTGCTTGCTGGCTTTCATTTCTTCCTTGACTGTGTCATTCTATGAATTTCAAAACGTATCTCTGGATAAATGCATCTGAAGTCTGCATATGAACATCTGAAACGAGCGTATTTTAAGCCGTTTCCCTGCTGTTTGATTTGATACCCAGATCGCGAGTGCGTTCTGCAAGTGTCTCGTCTTGCCCTACTTTCCCATGTTGTACATACCTTGGGACATAAATAAAATGTCAGCGATTCCGCAGTTGTTTGCGTTCATCTTCATGGTGACCAACGTGTTGGGTGTTCATAAGCCTTTGCAGACCACAGCGCTCAGTGGCCCCGACTTTGGCACGTGTGCACTCAGAAAAAGGCTCCGTTAGAACAGTTTCATTATTAGTATCAAAACCCTTTTTGGTCAGATCCACGGGCCATGATGCAAAAGAAGGCTGTGTTTCTAACTCAACACTGGGTGAGGGACTAAATCCAGTACTGATGTGTACCTCGCTAAGTGGCCAGGAGCTCAGCTGCCACAATAATGTTGAGGGAATAGTTGGGAATTAAGGGACTAAGGGAGCCCCTTGTCCTTCCCTCTCTCCATCTCTCTTTTCTTCCTTCCTTCTCTCCTTCTGTCCATCCTTCTCTCTCTTTCCATCTCTCTCGATCCCTCTTTTCTTTTCCTGCTGCTAAATTTCTTTCAACCAGCATATTTGCTAACATTTAGAAAAAAAATTAACACTTCATTGATGGTTCTTCAACAAAGAGAAATATTTGACATTTTGAACTATTTACAAAAATGCTTTACATTGACGGCGTTGCTCTGTACTCCCGTATGGACATGACCTAGGGATAGCCAAGCCAAAGACAGACTGGGATCATCCTTCCCTGGTGGCTCGTGTGCTGCTAGTTTATAGATTCAGAGTCTGACACCTGGATTTCATTACTTGTTCTAAAATGGTCCTAAGACTTGGTTGACGGGTTAAAGCTCTTTCCCCTTAGACAGGATTTTTCTCCTGCCTTTTGCTTCCTCAGCCCCTTTCTGAAGTATCCTATATTTTTTTTAAGTTTTTTTTTTTTTTTCTAGTAATCTCTACACCCAATGTGGGGCTTGAACTCATGACTCGGATCCGAGAGTCACCTCTCCTGATGAAGCCAGCTGGGCACTCCTGAAGTTTCCCACATTCTATTCTTTCCTTCCTTCCCCTGGCAGTCAAGGTTGAACAAATTTAATCCAATCTTGCCCAATGAGAACTGGAGTATCTCCAGCTTTCTGAGATTGTTCGTTCTTGTACAGCACGTTTTCTAAACCAGGAAAGCGAGCTCTTTGCCCATGAGACGTGGGTGTAAATCTAACTCTGCTTGTCCTGTGCTGCACTGGACATAACACCTAACATCTCTGAGTCACGTTATGATGATACCAGTAAGGACTTTGCTGGGTAACTGTGAGAAAAATGTCGCTTGGTAACGTGCAGCTTCAGCTTGATAATTGGCCTCACACTTCCGTCCAAACAGAGGGGGCTGTGACGTTCTGTGCCTCCTCACGGTTTCCTCCGTGGTAGATGACACTGTGTTTCTTGGAAGACTATATTACTGAGTGCCTATATCTCTCTCTCCTACTTGGCTTGAACTTCTCTCATGCTTTTTTTCACTGAATTCTGCTTTCAATAACTGTATTTCCCATCAATACCCGAGTAGATATGTTTGCTTGAAATTTTCTCTGCACTTAACACTACGTGAGGCCACTCATGAAAGTATTATCTTTACTTTTCCAAACCTAGAAAACATGGGTCACTATAGGAGATGACAAGCAACAATAAAGCTCTTCTCTATCAAGAGCAGATGAGCCATAACACAAAGTAAAGCTTTTCTGATGTGTTGGGAGAATAATCTGTAATGGCTATTGGAATTCTCAGTGTAGGCTTTATACACCTAAATTAATTACATGGATTTATGTGAACACAGATGCCTTTGGAGTTCTATAGAAACTATTTAAGTGGCTTAAAATGTGTCAGCATCGGAGTCAACTAGATTTTCAAAAATGGCACAAAGTCATAGCAAATCAGTCTAAATCATTCTGATTTTTATTTTCTTCTAAATTATCATTGACCTCTTATCTGGTACATAGACCAATAGGATCCCAGTGACAGTGGTCACTTGGACAATCTTTTGGTGTGTGAACCGTTGCAGGGTATGAGATTGAAGTGTGGAAGTCACGGTGGGGTTTTAGATTGGGTTTTTTGCAAAAATCAGTCATTGGCTTTGTGTGCATAATGCAACTGAAATAATCACCTGCTAAACTAGCCAATCTCTTGTGTCATGGTGTGACCATCCATTTGAAAGCCACTTTGAAAGGCTGTTGCACTTTTTTTAGACCCATTTCAGCATCTTTCTTGATAAAGTTGCAAATTAGCTTCTGGACGATCCAACATACATACAATTCATTGCCAGACGAAATCATTGCCGTCCTTGTGAGTACCAGTCATACTCCAAGCATTATGCCTGTATATTTCTGTGATGTAATGCTAGTAATTGTATTTGACAAAGATGCGGACTGAGAGACATTAATTACGTGAACAAAGGTCATACAGCCAGTAGGTGGCACAGGTGACATTGAACCAACTTGTGTTGTCGCCCAAAATGTGTGCTCTGCCACTGTGACTGCCTTGTTCTGCCTCCCAGAGGATCGTGCGTGGGGACACTGATGCCATTTTAATCACTTTTGACACATGTTGCCCTTATGCACTTTGATGTTAACTCTCACTAATTTTGCCTATTTTTTCACAGGTGCACATATTCAATTTCTGAATTTTTCTACCGAAGCTAACCACGACTACCTTGAAATTCAGAACGGACCCCACCACGGCAGCCCCATGATCGGGCAGTTCAGTGGCACAGAACCCCCCTCCTCCCTGCTCAGTACGACACATGAAACGCTCATCCACTTTTACAGCGACCATTCCCAGAACCGGCAAGGGTTTAAACTCACTTACCAAGGTAAGGAATCAACAAAAACCCAGATTTATCTCTTTCACTTAAACTGAATGGAAATAGCATCCTCCCCGACGGGTTACAGAGGTGCAGAGCTGGAACCACTGGTTCCCCGACTGGTAACGGACCCGGGGCTGCTCACACGGCGTAGACGCGGGCAGAGGCCTCAACGGGGATGGGGGCCACCGCACTGTCCTCACGTCTCCCCACCAGTCATCCCCTGCTGCGACCCACATCACACTCCTGAGCAGCTGGCCCCGAGTCACGCACACCTCCCCATCTGTCACGGTCCTCTGGCCGCCGGGGCGTCGCGTCCCCTCCGGACGTGCCGGCGAATCCGGTCACAGCGGCAGCGGGGCTGGAGGCGTGTCTCCTGCACCAGCTGTTGTCAGAGCTCGAAAATAATGGCTGAAGGTATCAGTCGAGTCACTTCCAGTTACGCCAGGAAGAAAATCCAGGGAACCAACTTCGTTTTTAAACTCTCTGAACGCGAGACTTGAAGACAAGTTTGAATCAAGCCTCATCCGACCATTTTTGACAAGAAAAAAAGTTCAGAGTTTTCATTTCGTACCAGACGATTTAGCTGGCGGTTCTCGGTTATCGTTAAATCCTACAAAACTGGAGATGTCAACACAAGGGCTTTTCGTTTTTAAAAATCTTAACTAAATCACTCGCTTTCTTTAATTTCATCGACTGCCTTTGAGACTAAGGCTTTTACTGTTTTACTCAAAGATGACGCATTTTATGTTGAAGTTTCAGACATTGATACTCAAGTTGTTACTTAAATATAAATCTACACTTAGATTTCCAAATCTGGGGTTTCTTAAGATACAAAACCCCAGTAGGAGGGAAATAAAGGCTGGGACCGGGAGGAATGCGGCAGGAGACGTGGCCAGAATGTTCTTGATGCAGGCGGTGTCCTTCATTGCTTCTCGCTGTACCCCATCCCCCTCAGGAAAGCGTCGCTTGCACACACACACGCACACACACCACGTCTCTTTAGACATGTATTTTTAAGTTTATTTATTTCTTGAGAGAGAAAAGGGGAGGGGCTGAGAGAGGGAGAGGGAGAATCCCGAGCTGTCAGCTCGGAGGCCCACTTGGGGCTCAGGCTCATGAACTGTGAGATTGGGACCTGGGCAGAGGCCAAGAGTCAGGAGCTTGACCGACCCAGCCACCCGGTGCTTCCATTTATGTGTAATTGTCAGTGTCCCTTCGAGTCCCGTCTTCCTTCGGCCGCCACTTTCTAGGAGACATTGAAGCACTGTCTGCACCACCCGGCCTTCCGTGCTGCTATACCCCCCCCCCCCCCCCGCCCCGCGCCGTGGCCCGTGTTCTGTGGTAGCGTTCGGTGGTGTTCCTGCCTCTGGCCCAGGGCCCTGCCCCCTCCCTGAGGGCCCACACAGTCTCTTGGCGATTCCGCTGCCCCCCCCCCACCCCCCTACTGCTTCTTACATCTCTGGGCCTCGGTCGTTGTCTTCTGCCGGACAGCTGCGCGTGCGGGGCTGGCCGATCCACAGCCGCTCATCACCCCCTTTCCCCCAGTGTCCTCAACGCTCCCGCATTCGAAGCCCGTGTGGTGTGAGTGCTGGACGGCCTGGCTGCTCCTGTCCCCGATTCCAGTTCCGCGAGTCCCGGGGCCGGGTGCCTGTCCCACTGCCACGCATCCCCTGGGCGTCGGGCTGGCCCGTGAGCCCTGTGTGCAGAACCGAGCACACGGTTTCCTCTCCGGGTAGGTTCCTCTTCCAGCCTTTCCCATCCCTCTGAGGACACGGTGCGCATTTGAGCTACCCGCTCCAGCTGCAGAACTGGCATACTCGTGCCCCTGTGCCCGCTTTCCTGGGGACGTGACCCCATGCGTCATGACTCTTGCCCCAGCTCCCAGTTGGGCAACATCGCGCAGTCCCACCAGATGCCGCCACGCATCTTGTCCTCACCGCCCTCCTCTTTGTCCCAGAAAACTGTCAGACCCTTCAAAGTCCTACCACGTTCGTCCTTCCCACTTCTGACGCTAAGGCATCAACAGCCCCCGTATCTAGAATGAAGTGCAGAACGACTTCAGCCTTGGTAAAGCGGCCCTCTAGCCGAAAGGATTATTTAGTGCCCCGGGAGAAAAGGTCTCCTGCAGCAGAAAGAGCAGCGCTCTGACCGTAAGATCAGCGCGGGTCTGGAGGGGTGGGAAGAGGGGTTTTCCTCTACTGGGAGGAGCGGCAAGGCTACGGGGGCCTGGGTCTGGGAAGCGGGTGAGCAGGAGAGACCGTGGTGGGTGGTGAGTCAGGAAACGTCCTACCCGGACAGCAGGCTGCCCGCGGAGCGCCGTCTACTGGCTGGGGCTCGGGCGCCCAGTACGAGCTGGTAGGAGCAGAGACCAGTGTTTTGTTCTGGCTCTTTGGTGGGAACAGGCGGTGAAGCTCACCATCTGGGAGACATGATGAGACGAGATGAGAATCTGGAGGATTCGTGTCTTGTCCAGCCACAGGCAAACGCGGGTGTTCCTGACTCTTCTGTAAGTGGCAGGGGAGGGCAAGGTCTTGGAAGCAAGGCATCTCCTGGCGCGTGTGCGTGTGCGTGTGTTGGGGGTTCCCTCACCTTCCTGCTGGAAGGCTTTGCAGGTGTCTAAGGGAGATGTGGCTTTCACCTCAACACACCTCTCTCTGTTGCGTCCTGTCCTCTTCACCTGTTTGTACGCTGAACTTGAAACTTGAATCGTAGTTGCCATGAATTCAGTGCTTCTCTTTCATATTTTTGTATATCTGGTGTACACCCTTTACCTAAGTCTGTTGAAGTACATTTTATTAAAGTATGAACATTTCATTCATGATCATCATTTTATTTATTTTTTAAAAATTCTTAATGTTTATTTATTTTTGAGAGAGAGAGAGCGTAAGCAGGGAGGGGCAGAGAGAGGGAGACACAGAATCCAAAGCAGGCTCCAGGCTCTGAGCTGTCAGCACAGAGCCTGACGCGGGGCTGGAACCCACTAATTGTGAGATCATGACCTGAGCCGAAATCAGACACTTAACTGACTGAGCCCCCAGGCATCCCTTATTTACTTTTTTTTTGAGTTTATTTACCTATTTTGGTCAAGGGGGAGGGAGCAAGAGGGAGGGAGTGCAAACGTGTAGAAGAGGGGCAGAGAGAGAGAGAGGGAGAGAGAGAATCAGAGCTGAAATCGAGAGTCAGCCACTTAACAGACTGAGCCACCCAGGTACCCCATGATTGTCATTTTAGACTTGGCTATTACATGGTGACCTCCATCGTTCAATTGGCATGACTTTAATGTATGAGTCAATAAGAAAAATATACATAATTACACATCTCAAACCATGAGCTGCCAATTAAGTGATTTATCTCACTTGATCCCGAGAACTTTTGAAAAGTCTTCCCCACTTGGAGTATTCTTAATACTGTATTCAAAATTTAATTTCTCTCTCCTTCTTGGCCTGCAAAACTCAAGTACAAATCCCCATGATTTATATGGAAGTTCTGGAACTGTATTTTATCTTACTTAACTCTAACCTCCACAGTTCGAAAAATATTTCTTGTTTTATCTCTCTTGATATTTTCCAGATAGGGTTATTAAGGCCACGTCCACATAATTCTAAAGCTATCAATTACTGAAATCCAAAAAGAATGCTCTAAAATAAACACACACATACACAAAGTCTAAATAGGAATTATCTAGACAGTAGCTCATAAAGTTGCTGCAGTTGGCTAACAAAATACCTCAATTTTTAATTGTCAATATTTAGATTAGATTTCATATAGTTTGTGAGATACCCATAGATCCACTTTCCTTTTTTATCTCACAGTGTCAGAATCTGTAAACATTTGGTCAGTGTTCACACGTAGGGACAGTCCCCTGAAGTGTCATAGTGATGGCCCCTTTCAGAGTAGAAAACCATTGATTTCAAAAATTTCCCTTATCCCCTGTGAGCTTTGAACATTGGTGTTGTCTGTGCGGCCTTTAAACATTTGATTTCGCGAAGCCTCATCTAGGCCACACATCTGGTTGGCTGAGCCGAGCACATGTTTTATTTACATGACGTCTGACTCTGTTTAAGTATCCATGCTGAAAATAAATAAATAAGCAAGCAATTCTTAAACAATATATTTTTTTTATTGTAGGCAGGGAGTTGGCTATAACTGAGAGCTACAAAAATAAATCAAAAGAATGAGAGCGTGAATTTGAGGTGCCCCAGTTTCTTGAAGGTCATCATCTCTGACAGGGGTGGATGGTACTTAATTAGATTATCGGTGTTTGTCATTTTGTAAAATGTATAAATTGGCAAAATGACACAATTCTGATTCGAATGTCACGTCAAAATTCCTAGGTCCGACTTGAGACTTAGAAGTTAAGCTCGTAATTAAAAACTCATAAGAAGCTGCATAAATCATGCAGGCTTGTCTTGTCATTCTCAACGATGCCTGGTTGTGCCCCTATTCTTAAACCTCGTCGTTTCTTTATGGCTGTAGAAAGGTTAAAAATGTTACTAGTGGATGTCGCTGTCTGGAAGTTACATGACTTCTACAGAACTTGGAAAATGGAAGGTGGAGAGTCGTGTTGAATAAAATTGAGTTCATGTACCCTATTTCTAAGCCAAAAACTGAAAAACTCATGGAAGCCTGAAGATATTTATCAGTTCATTAGATACTGGAAAATCTGGTGGATGTCACAAATATGACTACGTGACCCCACTGGCTGTCCCATTAAACACCTATAATTTAAACACTTGATGCCCTATTGCTTGAGAGTGATAGGTGTAATAGTTCTGTTCCTAGAGCCCAACAAAGGATTCCCTTACTCTTATAATATTGATATGGGCTTATTGGTGTCTAGATTTTCATAATGTTTATAAAATTGGGGCCATTAAGAATTTTAGCGATTCTCTTCTATTTTTGGCTTTTGTAAGTTAACATTTGGAGAAGTTAAGTATTCTCCTCTCTCTCTCTCTTGTTCATTCTAACATTATAATAGAATAGTGTAGGGGGCGCCTGGGTGGCGC